TACTTTTTTTTATTATACTGTATTTAAGATTTTTACAAATCTACAAAACCAGCACTGAAACCTATAAGTAATCCTTCATTCGGTAAGAGTATATCCTGGTAATGAGTATAATATTGTAAGTGCAAATGGTACTAGGCAATGCACATTCAGCCGTATACAATATTCAATGTCTTTTGTTCCGTATTCACCACCCTCACCCATTAAACGCCCATTACCACAACTGTCAAAAAAAGACTTTAGTTACTTGATCCGATGGGAAAATGCTTGGAATTATAACCTCATGAACATAGAACGCATATTCACTTATCAACCACGGATTTTATGCTTGCATGTAAAGCAACTGCTTACCGGTTGATTTCACTTAAGCTTCTGCATGGAAAGCAGTGATGTTTTGCCCCCTCCACCCCCCTCTGTATTCACATGCAGGCTCTGTGCAGCCTCTGAACGACAATGAGTTGGAGGAGAGTCAATTTTGCAAGAGATATTGGTACAATCTGCCACGATCAAGCCATGCAAAGTGTTAATTTGCGTGGCTTTACTGTGAAATGTAGGTACATGGGGATGAAAGTGCAATCTCTGTTAGAAATGTATCTATCTTTTTTTTACACACGAGCTATAACTCCTTTAAAAAAAAAACAGGACACCCCCACTCTGCCAGCTGTGCGAAAAAAGTCAGATCGATTACAGAAAGTCAGACCGACCAGATGTTACCATCATCTCATAGAAAGCCCTCCCCAAGCCTCTCCTTCCGAGGTGATCCGTCTTAAAAAATTGATACGATTGCTATTGTTGAGCAAAAGCTGTTGTAGAGGTCCCAGTTTAAGGCCTCATTACACATTTTACTGCACTGAACAAGTCACAATCTTCAACATTCCTCAAGAAGCTCATTGAGCTGATGTGGCCGAGTCGCTGACGGGTCAGAGTACCGAGGCTGCACCACCGAGATTTGAATTCAAGCTTCGGCCACCCGTGATGACATTTGTTTGCCGAGTATAGTGAGTTTACAGCCTCAGCCGGGTCACAAATGACTGCAAATAAAAAACTAATATTTTGTTTCACTGAATTGGCCTAGTTTCCAGCTGAGAATTAACGGGGAAAAAAAATCTTTCAGTTTGACTGCCATTTGACAGACATTCCCTGTAGCAGGGCAGATGGGAAAATGCTGGGCCCCCTTCTGTGTGGCTAAGAAGGTCACTTGAAGGGGTCTCAGATGTAGTTCTGTAATATCGCTTTCATTTGGCCATTTCCTAATGCATGGGGTGATGACTGCTCGAGTTTGGAATGAATACTATCTTGGCATGAAGTCAACAGCATAATTAGAAACAATTGAGAATACTTTTTTTCGGTAGTATTAAGAGCATATAAATATCATATTTCAATGCTGTCCAATTGATCCTGTGTTAATGTTCGCATCTAGATTGACATAATTTAAGTATAACTTATTAATTAAAATGACCTAATTTCAGATAAACCGACAATATTGTTGCAACTTTAATCAGATTTCATAGACAAAGGTGACAGCAGTACATGATTATAACCCCTTGCGTAAAGTGGTTTAAAATCAAGAGCTCGTTGATATTGCAGAGATCATATCTCTCCTGACAAAATGTAGTTTGTTTTACTTTATTAGGCAGTGGACCTTCCAGAAATACGATCCAGCAGCATTTGCTTTCTCAGGAAAAATCTGAACCATTTTTCATCCTCTGAATCTCATGGAATCTAGGTGGTTTAAATTGGTACCGAATTTGCTTGCTTAAACAAATTCTGCCGGATAGCTCTCGTTCAGAAATTGCACAGCCTAATGGAATAAAAAAGGGGCTTGTTATGCGGAGAGATGGATATTTGTCCGTGTTATTTCACCATCCATAATCATTCACAGCGTATCATCAGTTTTGATTATACTCAGAGCGGCATGCACATTGAGAGTCGTGTGGCGATGTTTGGCATGTGCCCTTGCGCATAGAACGATATTCCCACCCCCTCTTTGCAGCCCAGCGGCTGGGCCCGTCTTGCCCACGGGTCCAAGAGCAATCTGACCACCTGCACACTCGATAGCTACACCACAGCACAAAGGACCTGTTCTGACTAGTTACAGGCTCCCCTGGTGATGTACAGACGGCGAGCACCTGCACAGAGCCGCACCGTAACGTGGCAGCGATTCATAAAGCACTCAAGCCGCATCTCCACTTTCAGACTTGCGTGCAAGCATACAGATTTACTCAATAAGTGCACGTGTACAATTGCACCCTTGGGAGTTCACATTAGCCATGCTTAATCCCCTGCTGGACAAAGGACGTCTCCATCCCTCACGGCTCTGCGATGACGTAGGAAGCAGCCGAGCAACCGAACACAAGTTGATTTCATCACTCTGTGGTGGCGTCCTCTGGCCCGTTCCTCCCATGAGCTGCCACTCCAATGTTCATACTCTTAGTTTTTTCGGTAAAGACTCGGTTAGGTTAAAAAATGAAATATTAATTAATAAAAATAAAATTATATAAATCACGACGTTTCGGAAGCAACACAAGTCTCCGTCATCAGGTGGGACCGTCACAGCCAGATTTGCTGTATCACTTGATACACACCTGATGACGGAGACTTGTGTTGCCTCCGAAACGTCGTGATTTTTATTATTATTTTTTTATTAATTTTAATTTCATTTTTTTACCTACGTGACTTTACCGAAAAAAAAATAAGAGTATGAATCCTTGCAGTCACGAAAGCTTCAAATCTAGAACTCCAATGTCCGTCTCCACCACAGGCTAGCACTCCTTCTCGAGACGTGTCCTTACCGTGCCCACGCAATTTTCTTAACAGCAAATGTGATGTCCCTATAGCTGTTTGTTCTCCTCCGTCTTAGTGTAACGGGAGTTGTTCGGAACGAACACATCCCGGAGACGCATGGAGCGCTGCACTACACAAATGTAGAGGAGTAAAATGGGGACGTGACGTCAGGTGTGCCGTTCAGTGCGATGACGTCACGTCTCCTAGGTTACTTAAGGGATACCCCGTGACGTAAGCGGGGTCACTGTGGGAACGGGTAGAGTCAGCAGGGTGAAGAGGGAACCAGGGGTAGAGAGAGGGATCGAGTGGTGAGTCTGGGAAAAAGCCGGTGGTAGCCGTAGAGGTGCTTCTCTCTCCGCTCGGTGGAGTCGGCAGAGTCCACGATCCGACACGAGAGAGAGAGACCGGAGCTAGCCGGCAGGGACCCGGACTCAAGAGTAGGACCCCTAGCCCCTGGGAGTTGTGTACCCTGCTGTGTAATATTGATAAGCTTTAATAAACCCTGGCGAAAGCCCTTAACTTACCTCCGTCTCCGAGTGTGTCCGTGGGAGCTTCTCTACACAAGTAACGGTGCGCTCAAGACTCAACACGTCTGCAAGCTGCTGTCAGGACCAACCTATACCCAGTGGCGTAGCTTTGAACGATGCAGGTGGTGCAGGTTAGTGCAGCTGCACTATGGCCCACAGGCTAGATGGGCCAATGTGCCAGCTATGGAAAGAGAACCCCCCTCCATGAATGCCTTGCACGAGGGGGCATGCCAACCAACCATGTTATGTCACCGCATGCATCTTATTCTTCTTCTCCTGTAGCGCATATGTATTATGTTTAGCGTGGCACCACGGGAGACTCGTTTTTTCCCCAAAGGTTCCATCGACGATCAAGCAAATTGGATGTAAAAAGTTGCACTTCGCTGCAAGCGTGGCTAGAGGAGCCGTGCTTCACAACAGAATTCACTCAAAGGAGCCCGGCATCGTTGATTGCACTCAGCTTTTGATGTGCAGAACTAAAACACGGCCATGTGTGTGCCAATTGTTATTTGGACAGTAGCAATGCGTGTGCCAATTGCACACGCATTGCTACTCTCCCAATAACAAATCCGACGACCTAAACAAAACATTAAAACCAGTAATATTTTATCATATTCGCCTTGAAAAAAAACGATAATTTGTTAATGAAAATCGCACACACGTGCGAGTGAATGTTAAAAAAAAACAGGTTAATTTATTAAATGTGCAGAGGTCATGTAATTTAATTAATTTCATCCCCATGCATGCGGCTGCCAAGTCAAACATCAGTGGCCGTGCAAATACTGCACCTTTGACATGTGCGAAGAGAGGCTTGTGAAGATTATAACGCAGTACCCAATGACCCCAACTATACAGTATTAGGACCTACGATGAACACGGTTGGCTACGGACGGTGCGAAAAAAGTCCAACATACGTAGGGATACATCATAGCGAAAGCACGGACACCAGAGACTTGGATACACGGTCGTCGGTGGTGCACTTCACGCGCAGCAGACACGTGCATAGGTGAGATGCGCTGGGCAAACTCCACGCGAGACCACGCACGAGGGCGGCATCAATGATAGCTCGAGATATTGTCACGAGTCTTCAACGTACACTGGGGAGGGGGTGGGGATGGGGGCGTACATGCACAACACAAGCGATGTCCATTCAAGACACGGAAACTATTCCTGCAAGACAACATCTGAGCAAGACGCGCAAGAAGTCTCCGTGCGAGACACGCGCATCCAGAGTGTGTAAGGCGCACAGGAACCCCAAGCGACACACGCACACATGCACACGGGTCGCTCCATACAAGACAGACAGGCTATCCGCGTAAGATGCGCGGGACAAACATTGCACAAAGACAGACACAGGACACCCCTTGCATCACACGCACACACACACACACATCGGACGACGACCCAGGCATACAGAACATCAACGTAACACACACACACAACATTCATAACACACGCCAACCACGCAAGACGCTCATCGCAAGCCACGCAAGGCACGTACAATGCAAAGAACACGCGCGCACGAGCGCGCACGAGCCATCTTCGCCGAAGACGTACAAGCCTCCGCTGCGTTCGCCACAACACCGGACGCCTGCTTATGTGCGGTGTGAATATAAAAAAAAAATCCAAAATCACACGGGCGCATGGATGAGACCCCCTCCCTCCCCTGTACTGGATGGAGCCCGCACGCACCGGCATACGGTCACCAGGTTCCTGCGCTCGATGAGCACATCCCTCGCGTCAGCCTTCCTGCGCAGCAGGGCGCGGCCGAACCCCAGTGACAGCGCCATGCCGAGGAGGGGATGCCGAAGGGATGGAGGGCGGAACGCCGGGCAGGATGCAGGGCGTGCGCAGACGAGGATGCGCCTGCTGCTGCTGCTGGAGAATGGCAGAGATTCTGGGGACTCCCAGAGTGATCGGCGGAGGGGCCGTTCCCACGGGCACTGCCGCATGATCGGCTCGGGTACACGACACGTGGAGGGGGTGGGGAGAGAGGTGGTGGAGGCGGTGAGGGAGGCGGGGTAGCACGCGACCCTTTCTTAAAGCAGATATCGCATTATTCATGAATTGCCACCATCCACCAATGCTCATCAATCACCTGTCTATGAATTGCCTCGTCTCAATATATTCACCCCCCCCCCGCCGCTGGATACAAATGTACAATTCTCATTATTCATTGGAGGCACGCCTAATTAAGCAGGCCTCCAATGGATGACCCACGTGCAGATTTGTAAAGATTCTCCAAAGTGACCAGGAGATGGCAGTGCCAGAATGTAGATTCGTGAGCCCGTCTGTGCGGACGTTGGAGCGTTATTCCCTCGTGGCGTGGCAGGGTTTTCACCGCGTTCTGCGGTTACCTCCACGAGCAAAACGAACAGGAACACTCCAACCACGGCACGCTCCCCTGCCGGCCAGATTTGTTTTTTGCAAGATGTGAGAGCACACCTACGCTTTATCCCAGCAAATGCAACCTGCCGTTCAACTGTTATGTACCCATGTGGACAGCGCGAACCATCACACCACGGCAGCATCTCACGCGCACCGCACCCGTGTTAATGTTGGTTTAGAGTGGAAGAATTCCGGTTCTCTGGTACAGAAGCATGCACGTTAAAAGGCAGCAAGGCCTGCGTCAGATTTGTACCGTCAATTAAATTCACTGAATGTCTTAAAGTGTGCAGAATGTCACTTGTATAGACATCAATACATGACTTGCACACTTAAGGCTTGGGCACCTGGAACATAATGATTGTTACTACCCATGGAATACATTTTTGGTTTAATACATTGTCCTTCCATCGAACCGCTGGTAAATATTTCAACTGCGCCTGAAAGCATTCAACAAGAGTGGGCAAAGCACACGATTGCGTGCATGGGGGTAGTGTTGTCACAGACCTACTGCCGAGAAAGTGTCCCAACACATGCAGACAATTGCGAAGGATCAGCGTGTCAACTGATTTAAAAAGCATGGAAAATATCGGTCGTGCTCCCAGCACACGCGCTGAAGCCGAGCATTTCACATGGGATAATGACGTTGACGAATGCAAGCCGCGCTGTCCGTGAGTGTCACACGATAAGAGAGTCCAAGACAGCCGAAGTAAAAGTTGTGGGAAAGGAACCATGCGGACCTGTCAACTCTCACGCACATCCTCTCGATTCACGTAACTATCACGGAGCAAACAACACCCGCCCCCCCTCTTTCACTGATCAGGTGAGGTCTGGATCATTGGGAGCTCACGAACCTGGTCTGTGTATGCCTCGATGCTCGTTGTCTACCGTGTTCAAATCGGCTGTCCCCTGCCCGCAAGGATGTCGTGCCGCGTCTATTGCGAGTATAACCATGATGAACATTTATACTGGTAGGAACCTCCTGGTTACACCAGCCCACAGGGGATTATTGTGTCCGTCCGTCCGTCGTGCAGGGAGGGGCTGGGTGGGGAGGGAGGGGCTGGGTGGGGAGAGGAGGGTGGGGTGGGGAGGGTGGGGAGGGGCTGGGTGGGGAGGGTGGGGCTGGGTGGGGGGTGGGGCTGGGTGGGGAGGGGCTGGTCACTCCGTGGTGCCCTTATAAAACTCAACGTTTAACCTACTCACGCCGGCTTGTGCCCGCCCTCACAGTCGGGCATATTTACGGAATACACCACGCCGCCGTTGACCCTGGCCATTGACCGAGCAACCCAACGTTCCTACCAGCTCCCTCCGCAGGAATGTGTTTACTGTATTAATAGAATGGGAATACAAAGGCAAACTCTGTATCTTGAGTCTCACCTGGTTAAAGTCCAATCGTAACTATGTCATTGACACCGAATCCGCGTGTGTATTAAAGTGTATAACATCGTCAGCGAGTATTTATTGACGGTTCACGTCCATGCCATTGAATGCAGTATCTACGAATCAGCACTGCCTCCTATTGGCAGTGGACGAAACTACACTTATTCACGATGGGAAACTGAAATTCAAACCCACCATGTATGTTTCCAAAGTAAAGAAAAACGTCAGCGTCTCCCCTGATCATTGGATCGCTCATATTTCGTTCATGGCTCAGAGCCACTGGAGAGAATGGTGTTCTTGGGACAGGGCCATTCTACCTAAAAGAAAACCACTGCTGCGTTTCCAACAGCAATTACTTCGACACCATGGGGCCTCCTTTGCCAATACCAAAATATGAGAATAGGTTTTCCCCCTTTTTTCTGGCAATAAAAAAACACCTTTTACAAGGAATCATGTCTGCATTAACCACAATGCTTGTGGTCAGAATGCAAAAAAATGTATACTATGATAAATATATGCATTCTTTTTGGTTCTTTCGGTAAGGTAACGTATGTAGAAAAAAAAAAATCACATTTCGATCGCAACACAAGCAATCGTCATCAGGTAGAAAGATACAGCAGTAGAACTTCTGAACAAGAAAGGGCTGTTGCAACAAGAGGTTATATATATAGGTTTGAGGTGGGTGTCACCCACGGGTAAGTAGGCGGGGTCAGAGATGTAAAGGAGTTAATTCGCCGTGTGCACGCACAACAGATGATCCAAGGATTGGCATGCTAATGCAAACGAGTACAAAGGAAATGAGCCCGTATCCTCTGGTCTAATACCGTTTGAGTCGAGGCTCAAAAGAAAGCTGTCTCTGGTGTGGACCAATCAGTTTCAAAGACAATGCATATATTATCAGAGTATGTTTTGTGTTTGCATTTTGATCACAAGTATTGTGGTTAATGCAGACATAATTTCTCGTAAAAGGTATTTTTGTCGCCAGAAAAAAGGGGGGAAAAAAGGGGAAAAAAACCTATTCTCAGCAATGGCTTCCTCAATACATATTTGAACGAGCAACTTTTTAAAAAATTACAGATTTAACACAGCTGAGCTATCGTAGACGGATACAAAAAAACAATGTCAACAAATGACACGGAAGAATGCTTTTCGCTATTGAAATTGCACAAACTTTCCAATTTGTCATCTCAATACGGGTACCAATCACCAGGGGAGGTTAACGCATCAAGGGTTTTAAAACATTATTTCCGAACAATTTTGGTGGAATGATTGGCAATTTTTACATACAATAAAAGGCAGCAATGTGCAGGAAGATAACTGTTGATTTTACACACACACACGCACGCACACAATGCACACTGCAATTTCAACGGAGCAATTTGTCGTCATGGCGCCAAAAGTGTAGACCTGTAAATGTCATGAAAGTGAATGGAAGTCCACCACACGCGTCGTCCTGGCAAGGTGACTTTCTTCCGTTGACATTAACACGAACACGTGCAAGCAGGCGACACAGCACTCGGCATTGACTTTTTTCAGAGACCTGTTTAATATTATTCTTTGGGTCTTTCGGTAAAGCCACGTAGATTGTACTACAGCCCAGCCTGATGTGCAGCAGACCGCTGCATTCCATTCAGCACCAGGGAGGATTCCATCTCCCCCCTCACAGAGCATCCCACGTTATCGCTGGGTAAACACAACTTGTTACGGCGGATTACCCGACAAGTTCAAATTTCAAGTTCATTTATTAGGTATAGCCCTGTGAGCCATTCGGCTCTTGAATCGGGTGCAACCGCAACAAACAAAAATCAAAAACATGAACAAAAAACATCTTAAAGTGAATATGTGACTGAGTGCAAACAGAAAATCCAAGAAAAGACAGCAAAATATTGCAGAAAAAAACACCGTACACCAACGCTTTGTGCAAAAATCCCAGTGTGATGGTTTCATTTTAGTCAGTAACCTAGTTCGCGTTTAGTAGTAGTGTAATGACGCATCGCTTAATCTAACCGATTATATTCGTTTTTAATGTAGGATATGTGCATCGAAACACGCACGCATGATCGTATGTTGTCGACGTGTGATCCGTTTTGTAGAGCCGAGCTATCAGATTGAAGTCATCGATCAGTTCACAAATTGTCGTTTCGATTATACACAGCATCACATCTCAGCCCCTTCCGTCACTGCAAGGTAACAGGTTGCCAGAGAGAACTAAAAATTTAAACCGTGTTTGCCAGGCCAACATATCCCCCCCCCCCCTCCCACCCCTCTTGCACCCGATTAGTGCAGCGAAGATGCAGTGCCGTAGATCTCGTTTGCTGGCCGCTTTGAAGGGTCAAGCCTCGCGTAGTCCGCAGGGTCCTGTGGCACGTGGTCAGCACGCCGGCTGTAGATTCAAGAGAGGTCGCAACCGGGTACTCGATACCCGTACCCTACCCGATACCCGGCTACCCGTACCCGGCCGGGTACGGGTTCCCGTTTGCGACCCTGGTGCGGCCGGGTACGGGTAGACCGTGAGTCACTGGTGAGTAACTGTTTGTCACTCATTTCCCAACGTCTTGTCTCTTCTCACAATTCAAGTTGCAGGAGCCGCCACTGGAATCAACCCACCCACGCCTGCAACATGGCTTCATCCCAGAGGTCGCAATCAGTTACCCGATACCCGTACCCTACCCGTACCCGGCCGGGTACTGGTAGGGTACGGCCGGGTACGGGTACCCGTTTGCGACCCTAGTGCGGCCGGGTACGGGTAAGGAATCAAAACCCGTTTGCGACCTCTGAGCTTCAACCACCCTGTGATGTAGAGCAATCCATCGGACAGATTTGATGGTGCTTCGAGTGGACCCAGGGTGGTCTCCATGTGTGCCAAGTCTGGATAGCTCCCTACTAGCAAACGTGGAACGTTCGGCCAACGTTGGCCTGTTTTTTTAACATTTTATCAACGTTGGCTCGACGTTCGTTGTTTACTGGGTGGGAAACTTACAATGTGCCTTGAGAAAACCACCACAGTCGAATCTGTATAACTACGTCTGCGCCCGAATAGCTGGCAATTTAAAGAAGTCGGTTTTGTTTTCAGTGGTTAGCTGATGAAGATCGTAGCCTCTGTAGCAAAGTGCTCGTCCTCACAATCTGTGTTGGCTGTTGACTGCTCGTACTCCGTTGCCTCAAGTGTGCTCCACGTTGTGTGAGCGTGAAGAGTCTCCCCCTCGCGGTTCAATTAAATATTGCAA